AAAAAGAAACCAAGAATTAAAAGAAATTGTAATTGTTAATTGTAAAAATGCCACTGCTTGAATATGTCTACTTGATTGTAGAGAGAAAATTAATTGTAAAGAACGATGTGGAAAATCACTTGAATCACAAATTTCCCCTTTTTGGAAGCCCAGTTTAAAAAAGAAGCCGTATGCCACATCCCTCCTTTGTTTGCTTGAATGGAAAACTCTAGTAAGAGGAGACAAAGCATTGAATGGTCCCATCTTTCCAAGACCAAGTTTTCACGACGGTTTTACTCTTGATTGCCTTACAGACTGCCGATGTTAGATGGAAGAGATGAGCATGAAGACTCCCATGGGAACAACGGGAATGCTTCGAATGGACATAATGCAGCTCCTCGTGAGAACAACAATGCTGGTGCCAATGCCAGTGACAATAGCAATCCGGCGAGAAATGTCGTGTATAGTCGGTGCCCGCGGTGGTTCACTTTGGGTCACATCGAGAACCAACAGTGCCAATTGGCTTCCGCCATGCTAAGTGCTGCAAAAAGTAAGTACGCTTCTGCTCTATCTAGAATTATCATAATTTTGAAGTACATCTTTGCGCAAAGAAAATGTGGAATGGGCCACATCGCGATTTCTGCTGATGATATAGGAATAGAGTACTTTTTTAAACATTGCTTCGGTTTTGGTTCACATTTCTGACTTTCCAGATCTTTTAACCATTTTTCTCAATGATAACCTCGTTCAGATTTTTCTGGTTCCTGTTCTCGTTAAATTTCGACCAGTTCAACTTATTCTCACCAGATGATTTCTGAAAAAATTTTCATTATGCTCTTCCTTACTTTAATTCATGAAGCCGTTTAGTGCAAAAGATGTAGAAGATGGCGGAAAAAAATTCGATTAAAATGTATTTTTTACCATCAGAATGAATGGTGAAAAACCATTCATGGTGAAAAACCACACAGACCAAGGAACTGTGTTTCTTCCTATTTTTATCCAATTGAATCCCACAAAAATGAAAATTCCCTTTTTTCAAATTCTTGGTGATTGTCTTTTTAAATAGCGATATTGCAAAATGTGTATCCAATTTCCAAGATTAAACCGTAAAATTTTGTGTCATATCTTGAACCCAATTTTCAGCTTATATTCGAGTTTGTAGTTTTAAAAAATTCTTTCGACGCTGTGTAAAAAAAAAATTCGAACGTCATGATAACAGATCGTGTCGGGGGAAACATAAAATTATGATTTGGAAAATTTAAAAAAAATCGTTTTCGTTCAAATTTAGCTTTTCCGCATCCATACAGCTTTTTAAAGTTGAGAATTGGTCTACATTTCCTGGCTACGACTTTGTATTTACGAATCTCGTCCCTTCCTTCCATTCCAGGTGACATGCTTAGAATGCGAACAGTGCTGGACTCGGCACGAGCGAACATCCAGAGTTCCTCGCATCTATTCCGCTTGGCACAAGACGCCTTCAGATTCGTCATGTCCTCGTCGACTCCGTCTGGCGAAACCGGCATTACCCCGACGTCTGCAGCATTGCTTGCCACTCCTCCAGTCGTTGCTGCAGCAGCGGCAGCGTCTTCGGCAGCAGCTGCAGCTGCTGTTGCAGCAGCCGCCGCAGCAGCGTCCAGTTCCAACAATGCCGGAGCACCGACCACTGCGGGAACCACTGCCACTCCGACAACCACTACCGCCAGTGGCGGGCCAGTGGTCTTGCGATATCCCATGCTCCTCAATGCGGCATTTGAACTCGGGCTTCAAGTCATGAGCATGACCTTGTCTCCCACGTCTCCGAATTGGCGGCGACGGGAAATGGTGCGTTGGCTGGTGACTTGCGCGACTGAGGTGGGACTCGACGCGCTGATCTCGATCATGCATAACTGGGACCAACTGTTCACTCCTGTTGAAGCTACCTGTGAGTATTTTGAAGTTGTCGGTTGTTGTTGGATTCTTGTCGCGTTTAATATAGCTTCCCTAAACCGTGTGGGTTCATTCGTGAATTTTTGTCAATCATGTATACGCTTCTCTTCTTGGAAGGAGATGAACGACGTATCTGTAAAATCATAGATAATTTCCTGATCAGTGATCCGTTTTTGCTTACGAAGGTCACAAAATGAAGAAAAAGATGAGAATTGGAAGTGCTTTCCGTCAATGCTGTGAGGAAAGGATGTTTACGTGCCTCGGTCGCAAAATTCGTGATATTTCCGACTGTCTTGAGTGCTACCAAACATTTGAAATGCAATGATTTAAAAATGTCCTAGTTCTAAAAATAATTTCCGCAAATAAAAAGCAGATCTATGAAGTATTTTCTTATTGTTATGATTAAAAAAGAAGATCGTCCTTCAATTCCAATCGGCGAGCAGAGTTTCCAGTAAAGAGAAATTCGTAGCATAAGAAGCTTGCCTCAATCGTCATGTTCTTGATCCTACGAGAGTTTCGAAAAGATTCTGGCTCGGATGCTTGCTAACCCGAATGATAAACATTTCAGGGTACGATACTGGCACAACGGTTTAACCATGCCGTATGTGACTCACACTAACGATACGGTTTATTTTATTCACGAGAGAATTTGTTGAGACACGAGTGCTACTGTCGGTTACGAGAGCATAGCTCGATCTATGCGATGAATAACTTCCTTCTAACCGAGGCTCTTTCTATGGGAAGTTATTCCAAGTACAGTACAGTACTGTCTGTTACTGCATCTGCTGCTGATTTATTTGCGGCTTTGTACGTGGAAGAAATTTATTACAGAATGTACTGTATTTAAAACTTTTCCTTCGTTCTGTAAAATTGTGTGCGCCTTTTTTTAAAGAGCACTACTACCAGCAATGAGAGCATAGCTCGATATATGCTGTGAAAAACTTTCTTTTCCATTGAGGCTCTTTCTTCGGGCAGTTTTTCAAAATCATTTTTATCACTACACCTGCTGCTGATGAAATTTACGTGGAAGAAATTCTATTCAGAATGTATTTGAACTTATTGCTTCGCTCTGTAAAATGTTTGACGTCTCTTTTGACGAAGCGGGTTACTTCAAATGTGTGGATCGGGATCCGGCTTAACGTAAAATCGTGCTCGACGGCGCCGCATCGCACGTCATGACATCACACCAGCTCTTTGTCATTGCGCGTTTCATGGACCACAGACGGCATTTGCCGCGTGCGTACAAGCTCGCCACGTTGGCTATGAAGAATGTGCACCTGGCGTACAACCAAGAGTCGCATCCTGCTATCAACGATATCCATTGGGCGTGTGTCTTGTCGCATTCGTTGGGCAAGCAAGAACTGGCGAACCTTGTGCCGCTCCTCGTCAAGAACGTGCAGTGCGCCACTGTGTTGTCGGATATCCTTAGACGGTGAGTTTTTCGATTATTATTTTTGTTGCTGTGTGGAAAGGCTGACACAACGAGCTTGAGTCATGTTTGAGAGATTCGGCAATTTTATTTTGAAGCTCGATGAAGTCTTCCACGGTACTTTTTTTTCTGGATGCATTGTACTCTGATGAGCTCTGATGTATGTGAGGGTTACCGAGTGGGGCATGGGCAACGCATTCCCCACGGGTAGCACCAGCTGTTTCTGCTAAGTTCATGTTGTAACACTTAGGGAAACATCCGAAAGTAACATTAGATAAATTCAAATGTAACAGTTTGGAAAATTCATTCCAAATGCTGAGCCATCCTAAACTGTCAACCCCGAGAATGCAGTTGAATTGGAGGATGGAATGAAGAAACAGTTTGAGCTTTGACTTAGCTGTAGAGCTTATCTTTTGTGCAGACCACAATTTTCGTAGGTTTCTAGCATTCCCAATTTTTTGAAAGAATCTGAAAACTAATCTTTCTAATTTGTAAAATTCCCCAAGCATCTTCTGTGATCGAGATTTTACCTTAGCAGTACTGTATTTTTGTAAAAATAAATCGAATTTTTATGTTTGCCTCAAATAGCTGAAATTCTGGAAAAATCTGCTACAGTTTGGATGGAAATGAAATGAAATCAATGATTGATGCGGAAATACTTCACGTTGGAAATTTTCTAGAGATGAATGTCTTGTGAATTCTATACATTCTTACAATATGAGCTTGATAATTTAAAAAAAATGAGCAGTTGAATGGTGGACGTGTTTTCTGGTGCGTTTTTCTTAGGATTATTATTGACTTCACTAGAGTTCGGAATTATTCAGGCTGTGGACTGGCAGCAATACCAGAATAATCCGTAGGAAAAATTCGAGAATGGTCTAATTTTATAGAGCGTACCGACATTCCCGTTGATGTCGAAGTCTATAGTTGCCCAGATGATTGCATTTTTGAAGAGGGAAACAGAACGGCTCAATCTAAAAATCCAGTTTGACGGCTCCTTTGTTTCCTTATGATGGGAAATAAATACTGTATTCGGGTGCGGATAATTGGAGTAACTCTACATTTGCATACATTATTTCTTGAAGTGGTTAATGATGGTATTTTTTTTTTGTTCAGGTGCTCAATGACTGCCCCTGGAATGGCCGCGTCTCCGAGCGTGGATCACCACCACCATCACCACCACCACCACAAGCGACGAGGAGTGGCGAAACCCCTGGCCATCGACCGCCCTCCTCTCCGCGCTCTGCTGGACGCCGCCATTGCCGCCTACATATCTACAACCCACTCCAGACTCACGCACATCAGCCCACGTCATTACGGAGACTTCATTGAGTTCCTCGCCAAAGCCCGTGAGACGTTCATGCTGGCCATGGATGGCACGCAACAATTTGCGCAGCTCCTGGAGAACATGAAAGTCGCCTACAAGGGCAAGAAGAAGCTCATGTGCCTGGTGAAAGAACGGTTTGGTTGACGTCGGCTCTGCTCCTCCTCCTCCGTGCCCCGCGCGTTTCACCGAGTTTTGTTGCCCCTGTGATGGCCGTTTTTTTAGGGATGTTTTGATACATGTACGAGGAGGGAGAGTTTCAGAAAATGAGAGAAAAAGAGTTTAGGCTATAGGTTCTGGAAAATTCTATATCTTGATTCTTGAGATTCGAATGAGGTACCGTATTTTCCCACCTAAATTTCCCAGCTATCCTCTTTCTGAAACTTCGGGCAATTTTCTTAAAAATTACCGTTTTACTGTACCATGACAAATTTTAACTCTGATCCGTGTTATTTTCGATACCTCAATGCCATTTTCCATTAAATTCTTGCAGTCTTCTGAATCCGAATCATGTGGGAAATGTTTTAAAGATAATCGACACGGGTATTCAAAAGGATTGAAATATTGGCATGCTCTTGGAGCGTTTTATGTCTGTTCGTCAAATGTGTGTCGGCTTCACTTCCCTCAAAATTCAATTCTGAGCGACAAACTGCTTCCAAATATGTTTCAGCTGAATCTTGATTCTAAACTGACCCAGGGATTTCCGGTATTTTCCATCAGGTTTTTATGCGTTTTTCTGTGCTTTGAGAATTCAGTGTTGCTTTAAAAAAAATATGGCAAATTCAGTGAAGTTTCAGCTCTGATGCGAGGAGAAAAGGAGCGGTGTTCTGAGTTTTCAAAGTTACAGATCATATCGGATACTGCTGAGAAGAAAAAGCTGAGAGAAAAGTTTGTTTTGATTAGCCTTTATGGTACAAATGCGGAACTGCCTGTCGACGGAAATGTGGAGGAGGAAAATGGATGGATTTAAATTCCGAAGGAATCCGGGGATGGAGGAGCGAGAAGAACTGACGATAGCTTCATGCATTATAAACTGATATTCGTCATTTATATGTTGGTATTGCAGATCCCCTCCGCCTTCACCAAATGTTCAGTAAAAAAGAAAAGAAAAGCGGTGGGGTGGAATATTTAGCATGGTTTTATCGGTCTCAGGTTTAGCGAGTGGCTTGTAAGCGGAATCCGATCAGCTGCTTTGTTTAATTTCCCTCGTGCGCCTTTTTTTGTCCTTTTTTCAACGCATCGGGAAGGCATTACGTGAACGCGATGCCGCCAAACTTGAAGTTTTGAATGCGTTTTTTTTTTGTGGCAGGGTTTTTGATCTCGGTCCTTACTTTTTTTTTGTTTTGGAACCCCGCGGAAAAAAACATTTTTGTCTGTTTGTTGTACAGGAATCGAAGGGATTCAGAATGTTTGGATAATGTCAGCAGCTTCACCTTTTATTTTGCTTCTGTTCGGCACGCTGATCTCTGGAAAATGTTTTTTTTTGTTCCTGCTGTTTTTTGCCTCAAATGTTGTGCACAGTTCAGGTTATATAAGCAAGGCCTAACATTTTTTTGAAGGAGAAAAAAAAATTGAAGAACCATTTTTTGGCAGGAATTATAGCTTTACGTGATCCCCCGTTTCATCCTGCTATATTTTCCGTGAAGAAAATACTTGCCGTGGGTGTTGAATGTTGACCCCCCCATCTGCTCCCTGTTCTGTCTCGGCGTTCGATTTTGAAATTGATTTTGGGGAGATGATCCTGCTGGTATGTATTTTGTAAAACTGTATACCTCATGGAAGTTCGAAGTTCCGAGCTGCCGAGTGAGCTGATTTTTTTGTTGGGCTGAAGTTGTTTTCAATTCATTTTCACCGCAATTACCTCGGCGTGAATGAGCATGGCGAAGAGAAGAAGAAGAAGAAGGGAGGAACTTCATCCCGTGTTCTCCTTCCCCAAATGTCGTTTTTGTTCTCGGATTGAAAAAGTTTTTTTTTTCCTTTGTGACGGCAGGAATTCTTTTTCGAATGACGAGTCGCTTTGCTTTGCTTGTTGGTTTGTTAAAAAAAATTATATAAAGATGGATCTTCCCCCATGCCGTGCAATAAGGCTCGAACCGCCTTTCTTGCGCCAGGAAACAATCCGTGCAGGTTGCCTTCGACAATTTTTTCGCGAGCCACTTTCGGGCAAAGAGCGTGTTTGTAAATGAGGGCGTTTTTAGAAGCAGAGGCCGGGGGAAGATGATTTTAGCGTAATGGAAAAGCGGGCGAGTAGATTCTTTTTCTGTCTCGATGACTGCCTGTGGGCCTGTCAAAAGTGGTCGCTTGACACCTGTCGCCGTCGGCATTGATCCTTTTTATTTATATTTCTTCGTGAGTGCTGACAAATAACGATGTGATACGAATAAACTGAAAAAAGAAGCGACTCGATTGGGTTCATTTATGCGAGATATATTTTAATTTCAGCTTTTAAACAAAGAAATCCTCTTTGGGATATCGTCAACCTATTTATTCTGGAGCTTCTCATCCGACGATATTTTGTCATTGAATGAGTTCTTTTGAGACAACGCTTCAATGAGTGAAACGGAAATTCATGACATTCCCTGTAAGGAGGTGTGAAAATGTACTTCACATCTTGTAGATATGATATAGAACCTTTCAGGTAAGCGGAATTTCGACAACTAATCAGAATATTTGTCAACGTGACGCCGAAGGAAATTGTCCGGAGAATCCTGACGAAAGGTTGTCATGCTCTGCAGTTGTCAACTAAAAGGGATTTAAATCCAGAAGACGAACTCAATCGAAAATAGTTTATGTAGACGACGGGAAAAGCATAATGGGACCACGCAGTCGTCGCAATTGAAAATGGGGATTTAACTGGCAGAGATCTGCAAGTTAGCGGATGTGTTCAGCCTGAGTCATTAAAGTTTCTCTCTTTTTTTCATTCGGCAAGTCCTTGGCTATAATATTTAAAAGAAAGGCGTAAATATTAAAAAAAAGCAAAGAATACACTTGTGATATTAAAATTCGACATCTGAAGAAGCTATAGAAGAAATAGAGAAATTTCTGACGTCATCCTCATAAAAAAAGATACAGTTCGTTTGTTCGATGTTAAAAGAAGGGCATTCTTCATAGTACAGGTGGACTCTCTCTACAATGAAATTCAAGGGACAAAAAATAAAATTCGTTTGAAAGTACCCCTATAGTATGGAGAAAGAAGCTTATGGGAAAAATTACTGTTCATCCAGAGAAAATCGTTGTGGAGAGCTCACCTGTAAAATACTTCTGTGCAATTGCGTGAGTCACTCATTCACGATTTATTGGGTACTTGATGATTGCTGAACAATTCAAGACTCCCACCACAAAAAAGACAATATAGTATCTGTACTGTATTCACGCATCAAAATTCCTATGGTTTAAATGCAGTGGCTTGCATATAAAAAATCGCTTCGCATCACAAAATGTTGGCCTGATGCTGTTGCTTAAAAAAATATAGTTTTCAGGGTGGTAACCTTCCTCTCCTTGTCCAAACAACAGTCATACAGCAGGGAGGGGCACTAAGGCAGATGCCAGCATAAGAGAAATTGTTTATAACCAGCATTCTCAAAACAAGTATTCCATGTTATATTCGTGCTTTAAGCGAACATAGCAGGAAAACCGACAGAAAAAAAGAATTGCTCACAATAAAAACATGGATTAATATGAATGTTCATTAGATTCTGTTTTCATGCATGCAAGAAATTTGATCATTTGAAAATTGAAACATGGATTGATTACAAATAAATGAATAGCCTCAAATGATGAGGCTATTATATAAAACGTTTTTGTTGAATTGTTGAAACTCCGCTGGATCCATTCTAAGAGTCTCAAAACTTATGATGAACTAACCCTCGTATACGTATGATGTGAAGTAAAAGTTATGCCGCATTTGTTTGAAGTTATACTGTTGGGTTGATACCGAATTTCTTTCCCCTTCAAATTGAGTGCTGTATCCCAGAAAAGGGTAGGATAAGGTGTGCACTTTCATCAGCAGTAATAAAGTACATCTCACCCTGGCCCTTCTCATAATAATTCCACAATGACCAATAACTGCTGCACATGAGGGAGGCGGGGACTTCCCTCCCCCAGAGCATATCGGTTTGAAAAATGCTTCACTGCACCATCCAGTTCAACTCCCCAGCAGCTGCATGTCTCGTCCCTCCCACAGTGTTTCAGTGTATGATACTAAGTCAATCATCATCTTCTAATTCCACGTTTACTTGTTTCCCTGTGATGTAAAGGGAGTGTGTTGGGAAGCCCAACCAAGCATCTTGGTCCCCCCCCCCCCCCCCTGCGAGTTTCTGGCCTGGCCAGTGTTTGCTCTGTGACCAGAACCAAGCTAGCCTTCAGTTGGATCCTGATTTGTCCCCCCCCCCCCCCCCCTGCGAGTTTCTGGCCTGGCCAGTGTTTGCTCTGTGACCAGAACCAAGCTAGCCTTCAGTTGGATCCTGCCCATCGCATGGATCGGACCAGCGGTGCGTTCAAGTGCAACTGACGTGACGAACGTGTCCCTGTTATTAACCGAGGAATAAAAAGAAATGATTTCCCATTATTTGTTGGATTCGGGATGATTTCCAACTCCTGACGGAGTTTTTTCCTTTGCTTGCACTGCAGTGTGTACAGTGAGACCACCACATGTGGACACCTCAACAGGCAGACAATTTGACATTAGGAAATTTATTTTTCAATAAGAAGGGCATAAAAAAGGCAATACATGTGGACGCCTACTTGACATGAGGACGTTGCTTGATAAAATAATTGTCAATAAATTAAAAAAAAAGACTTTTATTAGGCTTGATTGCAAGAAAAAGATAATTCCAACCCTAAGATCTATGCCCAGAAAAATTCTTTGTCATTTCTCCCATCATTTCTCCCATCCATTCAGCTATAATTAAAAAATTACCTGTTGCATAGAGGGACTTCCTTCTCTCTTTGTGACTTGAATGTTATTTTTGCAGATGCCAACATTTCAATCTACTGTACATAGGTAAACTATTCAATGTTCCAAATGTTCTTATATTGAGCTGAAAATATATTCATTGAATCAAATTCAAGTGACAAACAATTGTTTTCATGGAATTCTGAAGAACATTTCTTCCATAAAACACCAATTAAAAATTATATAATGTAAGTCTATAGGAAAACAAGACTCAACTTGGGGAAAATTCCACTTTGGGACACTCTTGATGCACCAATTATGTCCGCATCTTGGGGGTCTCACTGATTTACGTTCACATGATCAATTAGTTAAACATGATTATTTCAAGAAAAATCATATTTTGAACCCGCAATAAAACTGGGTGCGCATCATATGCGGGGATAGCTTTTTGTTAGTCGAATACTGTGCAAAAAGAAAATTGAAGAGAGCTTCTTCCTCGATGTCGCGTCGTGGTACTCGAGTCAATACGGTATAGATGCCTTAAGATAAATATAGTACACATGACTGCGGGCGAAAAACTACCGCGTTAGTCCCAACGGGGTAATCCAGCCCGAATGTTATTCTAGTGAGCAACCCAGGGTACCTAGAAACGGTCCTTCGCGATACGGAAGACTCTCCGTACTTCCAACACCGGGTCTCCTAATCGATAGAGATAAGTACGCAGTTACTGCTAGCTTCATCTTATACCAGACGTGGGAATCATTCCCGTCCAGACAGAGTACACGAAGGACAAGCGCGGGAGAATCAATACGTGGACCCGACATTCGCAGGGAAGAAGAAGAAAAGGAGTGAGTGTCGGGGGCCGGGTACGCAAAAATTCGTCC